GTCAGGGCTAGGGCATCAGAAGGGGAAAGGGGGAGGGAATTTTCCAGGACTTTCGCAGCACCAGATGAGTTTTAATTACTCCTCATTATATCTAGCATTAGACAAGCCCTTCAATGAATCTCCTAAAAATAATGCTCTAGCTGTAGTAAGTTTCTCTAGTAAGTCTTTGAGAAGGGAATGGGAGGACAATTTTCAGAGGAAAATATTTGTTCCCTCTCCTTGTCAGTGATCAAAATTACAGATTAACAGGAGAATCTGCGAGCTCAGGGAGTGACCCAGCATAGCACTTGCCCAAGGACGAGAGTGAGAAAAAAAGAAGGAAAAAACCTTAAGAAAACAGATTACTCATCTCAGTGCACAGTCCTGCCAGAGGTAAATCAGAGCTGCTTTATCTCCATGTAAACAGGAAAGATAAACCTCAGGTGGCAGTTTCAGCCTTTGGCAAAGCAGGTAGAAAATCTCCATGCCCCTGCTCCGGCAAGACCTCCCAACCCATCTAACGCCCACCCAGCCTGGTGTGAAGCCGGAGCCAAAGCTTAGTCAGGAGCTGGGATGTATTTTCTCTTCCCAAGAAGCTCTTTTACAGTTGTCCCTTGTCCCTCCCCGAGCAGCTCCCACCTGCCCGGGACCCGGTGCACCTATTTGCCCGGGATGTCAGGCAGCTGCCTGCGCTTACCTTCCTGGCAGCAGGCAGGCTCCAGCTCCAGGAGCAGCCCCAGCAGGAGGAGGAGGCAGCGGGCAGGCATGCTGGCAACAGGGCTGGGGGTTCCTGGGGTACGGATGAGCAGCCTGGAGCTGCACTTGGACGGGCCACCCTCCCGCAGGAATGAGCGCTTGGTCAATTATCAAACGCACTAACGAGGGAGGCCAAAGCTCTTACCTGGTTATTCAAATCCTGCCACAGGAAGGGGCGGAAGGAGGTGTCTCTGGATTTCTCCCGCGGAAGCTGGCGGGGAATTTAGGGCACGGTGACTTGAACCTGACAGTCTTCTTAGGTAGGGCGTGGAAGGGGACTCAGACACAAAATATTTGCATCGGTCCAGGAGGAAGAAATGACACCCAGACGGGGAAGGCTTTCTCAGGAAAGCTGTGGTGCTTGGGGAGCACAGCTGAACAGGAGCTGTGTCCCCCCCTCCCCACAGTGGGAGGGCAGAGGGAGTCCAGCAATTCCCCAGCTCTGATATCCTTCACCACCACGTGGGACCCCCACCCACTGCCTTGCCCTTTGCTTTACAGCAAGTGTCTCTAACAATCCAGCGAAACACTTTTGTGACTTGACTTTAATCAATCAGTGTATTAACTCAACAACCAGTTTATAAACTCAATGAACTTCAGTTTAACAAACCAGACCTGGTGTCAGGTATTGCATCCCACCTCTCACACCTTGTTTAATGGTGAGAGTATTAAACAGAGCAAACACAACCTTCATTTTATTGAGTCTTATAGGGTGTTCTGAAAATTTCTGTGACACCAGAAGAGGTAGAAAGACCCAAAGGCCTGGAGGCAGCAAGGCTTGCCCTTCACATGAGCTGTGCAGATGCTGCAGGACAGGGAAGGTTGCAGGTCCTGAGTTAAGCAGTTGCCCAGCCCATGCTAGGTTTGGATAGCTGACAAACCCACCCACAGGAAGAATAAAAGCTATTTAGCTTCACAGCTTCTGTTACTCCTGAAGGAAATCATAAAACTGAGCCAGGGATTTCACCATTGTTCTTCTTGTGGTGTCTCATAGTGTCAGCCCAGCCACTGAGTACCCCCCTCAGCAGCAACGGAGCTCCTGGTCTGTGGGTCTGGTGATCCCCCTCCAGAGACCCTGACTGGGTTCTGGGTCCCTCCATGGGCCCTCCCATGGGATCCATGCTCAGAAATATGCAATACCCTCGGGAATATATACCCACTGGTGCAGGATTGCCTTCCTTCATCCCTCCTCTTTCCCCTGTATTTAGAATAAAGTAATTTATCCTGGAAAAAAAAAAAGAGCTGACAGGACCTGGTGATCCCCCTCCAGAGACCCTGACTGGGTTCTGGGTCCCTCCATGGGCCCTCCCATGGGATCCATGCTCAGAAATATGCAATACCCTCGGGAATATATACCCACTGGTGCAGGATTGCCTTCCTTCATCCCTCCTCTTTCCCCTGTATTTAGAATAAAGTAATTTATCCTGGAAAAAAAAAAAGAGCTGACAGGACCTGCACAAGATTGAAGTTCCCAACTCATCCCAAATTCCTTTCCATGGCTAAGACCCCACCTGTAACAAGGGATAATCCCATTCCCAACCCTGCTAATTTTTGCTTATGAAATCCTTGAGGCAAGGACTTCCCTGCTGCACCCATTAAGGAAGCATCATGACACAGGCTGGCCCATAATAAGGCCCTGTAAAAGCAATCTAATCACATTACACAGGAAAGGAATGACTTATGAAGAAGTGAAAATGAGAGTGGACTCTGGTTCCCCATGACCTGCTTCCAACACTATCTGGGAAGCACACAGAGCTTGCCGTCCTTGCTGCCTGCCTGTTGCTTTTCTCTTAGCAAAAATCCAGCAAAAATACCCTACCTGTTCAGAGCAGAAGGCTTTATCAGAAGATCAGAAGTCCTAGAGAAGCCAGTCCTGCTGCTGCCCTTGGAAAATTCAAGGTCTGAGACATTCTGCTATTGCTATCCACCCACCAGTCATGCCTGGGGCTGTAACAGGTGACTCATGAGGTTCCTTCTCCTCCGTGTGCAGCCCAGGTTGTCATCACCCCAGGGCTCTGCCCAGCCTACTTCCAAAGGTTCTGGGCTGATTTTACAAAGATAGGGATGTCTCAAGGAGCCACCCATATGCTATGGTGTGTTGGGGTGACAGGACATGACAGACCAGATCCTGAGATGAAGGCAGGGCTGCTGTGCCTTCGAGGCAGGGATCTTGCTGTCTACTCCCTTATATAACACTTTACCAATTGCACATACCCACGTTTATATGAAATTTAAGAAAATTCAATTATTTAATTATTTTGGGCTCACTGATGAGGCCAGGGAATCACTTGTTTGCTTATCTCAAAGCTCCTTTGTGCTCCAATGCATGTTCTTTACCCTATGGCAGCTATTAGCGAGGTATGTGCCTTTGTGGTGAAAGCTCCCATGGCACCTGCTTGGTTGCATATTCCTGGGTCTGGCCTGGGGGGATGAGAAGTTACAAGTCACTGTGATGGCAGTAGCCTTGTTGCAGGGGAAAAGTCTGAAATTCTGACAAATAAATTGCCATCCAGCTTCTCCTTTTGTCATTCTGGCCATGGCTTGGGTCCCGCAGCAACAAGTAGCTGTGTGGTTTTGCTGCAGCATTCTGAAAATCTTGCTGTCTCTCATTTAAGCCTTCAGCATCACCCAACCATGGTGAGTCAAAGCCCTACAAGTCCATTTTACATGTGATGGAAAGTGAGGCACAGAAGGGAAAATCATCTTGGCGGCATTTAGTCAAACCCAAGGGGAGCCAGAGCCAGCTCAGCTCTCTCCCAGAGATCATGTGAGCAGTTGCCTGTACAACAGTTCTTGTGCAAAGCAGAGATTGAAATCTCAGGATTTTCACTGATATCCTCCAAAAATTAGTGATTATTTCCTCTAAAAATATGTAATTTTTAGGAAAAATTTACATTTGCTCAAAGCAATATACCTGGGTGATATGTCTCAAAGAACAGAATCCAATTTCTCTTTGAAAAACATTATGGGACTCTGTGTTTTAATATGTTATCTTCCTTCCTTCCTTCCTTCCTTCCTTCCTTCCTTCCTTCCTTCCTTCCTTCCTTCCTTCCTTCCTTCCTTCCTTCCTTCCTTCCTTCCCTTATTCATTCATTCTTCATTTCCTCCCCCTCTCTCAGATAGAGCCATAAAATATGAGAGCAAGCTTGAACATCCTCTAAATAAGAGATTGTAGTTTACCTAGGAAAAAAAAGAAGTAATTATAAATGTTACATTTCAATAGCTGCTACAAAACATTAAAAAAAAACCGAACAAAATATACCATAAATAAAAAACTCCCCATAAACCAAATTTTTAATTGCTTGTTTCTTTTGACATTTGCCTTCAGAACAAAATATTCCTTGCTTGCCCCAGAATTCTCTCATTTTCCATTGACACTGGCTTTCAAATGCTACCTGGGGTGGATGCTGGCAGCACAGAACCAGGAACTACAACCACTCTGAAAAGGGCATTTTCTTGGCCCAGTGTGCCAGTGTGGATAAAAGGCAGCAGAAGAAGGCAGCTCCTGCTCAGGGGTTTCATCCATCACAGCTCTGTACTCCATTTCTCTTTAAAAATGCCTTTAAACTGCAATTAATTTTCTTATATATGTGTTGTTGACAGCCCCAGTGTCAATGGAGTGGCAAAAGGGCATTGCCCCACATTGGCCTCATCCTTCCCACACCACCCAGGGTTCAGGTGGGCCATTTACTCCCTTCCCAAACACACACACAGGATCAAGGAAAAAATACATCTTGGCATTTTATTAGACATTTTGTTAGATCATTTGTGTGTCCCAGGTCTAGTGCTAACTGAAAGCCTTGAATTAGCAGCAGGGACAAGGGGGTGGCATGGTGGTGGCCATGACCCCTCTTGGTCCCTTGTTTCAGGAGGATGTGGATTTCCCCCTTCTCTTCTCAGGACCACACCTAGCAGGACACTCACTGGGAGCTGGTACCCAGCACCTGTATGCAATGGGACACAGACGTGGCACCAGGTGTCCTTTGTTTTCCCTCAAGATCTGCTCAGTAACATCACTGTGGCACATGGGTATTTCATGAGACCCTCTGGATGACAGTTTGTACACCAGTTGATTTTGTCATGGATCTCTGGGCAGCATTCACACCCTCCACTCTCTGCACTGGGACCTGATGCTGCTACTCCAAACATCTACAGGCAGCAGTGGGCTCTCTCCTCTATCTATTGTCCCCTCTCAGCTCTCTGCCCCTCTGTCCTCGATGTCAATAGCTGCCAGGGCTCTGACAGCATGTTCACATCAGCCCCAGACCCCACAGCCTTGGAAAACTAGGCTGAGAAAACACCTACCTGATTTGTTGCACCTTGCCCTGAGCTGGAAGGAATGAAACTAAAAATCCCTGAAACAGGAATAAAATCCATCTGCCTCTGGTCTGCCTTATTGCTGGGGATGAGCCTGCATC